GGGAAGTCCTCTGGGTTAGGCACGTGGGCTCCAAGTAGACGTAGCCCAGTTTAAATCCTGGCTTGGCTGCTTACAGCTGGGTGCTGTGGCAGAGGCTGTTGACACTATGGATGCCTGGTCCACCTCTGAGTTCACCGGAAGCTTGGGAACCATTTCCAGCCCACTGACAGCATCCCACTCCAATCAACCGCCTTTCTGGTATTCAGGGCTGCTCCACTGGCCAGGAAGTCTGTCTCCCCTAGTCCCATGAAAGACAGGAACAATCCTTAGCCACAGAAGGATGGGTCAATGGATAAGCACCTCCACCTCCTTGTCTGCCAGTGGCACGATTTTAAGGGAGTGCATATGTTTTCTATTGCTGCTGTGAAAAATTACCACAAACTCTGTGGTTTGAAACAACACACATTTATGATCTGACAGTTTTGTGAACCCAAAGACTGACATGGATCTCACTCAGCTAAGATCAAGGTGCCAGCAGGGTGCATTCCTTTCTGGAAGCTCTAGAGCAGCGGTTCTCAACCTGCGGGTCGTGACCCCTTTGGGGGTCAAATGACCCTTTCACAGGGGTCGCCTAAGACCATCGGAAAACACATATATAATCACATAGTTTTTGTGATTAATCACTATGCTTTAATTATGTTCAATTTGTAACAATGAAATTGGGGGGTCACCACAACATGAGGAACTGTATTAAAGGGTCACGGCATTAGGAAGGTTGAGAACCACTGCTCTAGAGGAAAATCTTGTTTCCTTACCTTTTCCAGCTTCCAGAAGGCTCCTGTTTACCCTGATTTGTGGCCCCTTATTTCATCTTCATAGCCAGCAACATTGGGCTGAATCCTTCTTACACCACCATCTCTCTGGTTCTCTTTCGACTCCATCTTTCACTAAGAAGGACCCTTGTGATTACATTGGGTCCTCCCAGATATTCTAGGATAATCTCTTTTAATTAAATATTTAGCAAACTTAATTGCACGTGCAACCTGAATTCCTCTTTACTTTGTAACATAACATGTTCACAGGTTCCAGAAATTGGGACATAGACATCTTTGGGGCGGGGGTGGGGGGGGTGGAGTGTGGTGGTGTTAATCTGCCCATCAAAGGCGGTTCCATACAGTTTTTCAGAGGTGCCAACTGAACCCTGCTGCCCACAGAAGAAACCCACTCATTTACATTCTTTCTGGCTTTCTCCCTCCCTATCTCATTTTGTCCACTTCTTGACTTGTGCTTCCTGAGATCACCTCCCAAATACACTCCCTTCCCCCAAAAGCTCATCTCAAGATGTGCCTTGGCGGGACCCAAAGTAAGACGGTAACATTGGGTAAGTTACTCAATCGGTCTAAGCCTTAGTTCCCTCCACCATGAAAGTAAAATATATAATAGTATTTTATCTTATCCTGAGACTTTTGGGAGGATTCTGAGTTGACCTTCATAAGACACTGTGGGGTGCATCACAAGTCCACAAGAAGTTAGCTATTGTTGGAGGGGTGGCTGCTGGAGCACAGCAGGCACCAGACTTAAACAGACAGAGGTGGTCTTCCCCCCATGACACTGGCCCTGATGACCAGAGAGGGCTGGGCTGGGACCAGGGTGGGAAAACTGGAGGGTTTCCTCTGAGACCATCCATTTTCTTCTCGAGGTGCATCTGCTACTGAGGGCAGTAAAGTGTGATATAGACTTTGGGAGCATAATGAACATTAGAAATACGTACCTAAAGATTTTTGAGCTTCCAGAAAAGTCCAGTTGGCCTGAAGGCTGACTGGGGCAAGGACGGAGAGAAGCTCGCAGGAATGAGCATGTTCTGAGGATGCTAGCTTCTGACTCAGCAGGGACCAGCTTCCTGCTCGTCCAGCTATTCCATTTGTGAAATCTCCGCTGGGTTCCATCCAAGGTCTCTCACTGTCTCCCCTCCCCCAACTCTCCACTGGTTAATCTCACCTTTTTCCAGGTATCAAATACATTTACATGCTGATGGTACCTACATTTGCATCTCAAATACAGAGCACACCCCCCACCCCGAGAGTCAAACCTTGTTTTACAAATTGCCTTCTGCCTAGACCAGTGGTTGGCAAACTGCGGCTCGCGAGCCACATGCGGCTCTTTGGCCCCTTGAGTGTGGCTCTTCCACAAAATACCACGTGCGGGCACGCACGTACAGTGCGATTGAAACTTCGTGGCCCATGCACAGAAGTTGGTATTTTGTGGAAGAGCCACATTCAAGGGGCCAAAGAGCCACATGTGGCTCACGAGCCGCAGTTTGCCGACCACTGGTAGACTATCTGGCAGACACCTGAAACAACATTTCCAAAGCTGAACTCACCCCAATACTTGTTTGCCTTCCAACAGTTCCTGTTTCAATTAGTAGCATCAATAACCACCCAGTCTTCGAAAAATAGAAATCTAAGGGTCATCTTATGCTCCATCCTCCAACTACACATGAAATCCCTTCAAATCCCCTCCCTTTTCTGCATTCCTGCTGCTTCAGTTCAAATACCCGGGACTCCATGCTTGACTAAGTACCATTACCTCCTGATTAGGGATGTGGCCCCATTTTTCCCTCTGGGAGAGGGCATCCTCCCAGATGTGACACAGGCTTTTTATAAACTAAACTTGTAAAATACAAATCTGACAAAATCTGCTGACTGCGGCCTAAAAACCGAACTCCTCAGCATGACACATGCATCTTCACACAGAGCCCTAATCACCTCTGTTGCCATCACCTTCCCTAATCCCAGATTCCCGTTTTTCTAGTGTGACATTTATTTTTTGGTTGTGCATTTTATTTATTTATTTTTTGCTAAAAACCAAACCAAACTAAAACCCCACAATACCTCACACAATCAATTTTAAAAGGGAGGGGACCAGGAAAGAAAGATACCTGTATTCTCCTGCCCTGATTCTGGAGCGGTGCCTGGGGATTGTGTATATCTGAGACTTCACGGGTGATCCAGGTTTGTCAACCACAGGGTTATGCCGTTCATACACAAGTCCCACAAATCACATCAAAGAACCCAGAGAAAGGACACAAAAAAGAGGAGCCTGTTTCTTATGTTGACACCCGCATCACTTCTGCATCCTCACCTCGATGGAAATCCTGGGTAATTGTCAAAGCAATCTTAAGAATGAAAAGGGCATCCATCAGTAATACCTTAATCAATAAAGAAAAAAAAATAAAAATAAAGAATGAAAAGGGCATCTGCATAGCCTACAAACCTGACTGGCAACCTAAGCACCTATCAGCATCTTCCTGTTACCCTAAACATTCCTGCCCCAAAATACATTCGGAAAATGCTGAAGCAACTACTCTGGAAGTCTGGTCCTCCACACTCCTTGGTTTTAAGGGAAGCCCTACACTATATAGTCTGAAACCACTGTGCTTGGTTTTTGTCAGCAATGCGGTAGAAAGTCGAAAACCTGGACAAGTTAACTTCACAAGCTGCAGCTCTCCTAACGCTGTCAATTCAAACACATACAGTATTAGCCTGCCATGTCTACTCGGATGTGTGCAGAGTAAACAATATGACTGGGGAACCTTAAGCTCGGATTTCCTCCCACCACCTGAAAAGTTCAAGAAACTTTGCAGGACGCTTACATATTCACTACGGCTCATACTAACACCCGAGCCAGGCTGAACAATAGGAGAGCCGACGAAGTCGCTGGTCATCCACACGCCGTTGTTGACTGTAAGCCCTTCGCCTTGGCAGAGGCGCCTTTTCCTCTGCTCCCACTCTTTTTCAAATGGTCGCCACGGTCATTGTCTGCCAGCGC